TGGACGTAGCAAAATATGGCGCTTTTCGCTTACTAAAACGAGGCATTAAAGGGAAGCATGACTATCGCGCGGGTATGGTAACGAGTTAGAAATAGCATCAATGATTCTAAAAATAGCATCAAAGTGTGCACATGATGGGGCACGGGGATTCCTTCTCTTAGTTCATTTTCTCTTGATGCAGCTCATTAAAAGATACATATATGTGATGAATACCACGTGCTTTGCGACTCATGAAACCCACCTCAACTCGGTAGTGTACGAGAGCACACTTGACTCCTTGTCAAGAGGAATGGGTGCGAATCCCGGCTGAGTTTGGTGGAGTTATTAGACTTGATACTCAGTATAGCGGCATTGTGTTATCACGTGATGGCACCCATGACAGAAAGAAGGAAAAAATGAAATTGGTTAACGTTCTATAATACTTTATAACTAATGCATATTTTTGAAAAAGTATGCAAATGATCAAAAACACGCTAATACCACAGGCTAAATACCACGCTTTTTGCCCGAAAAAGACCAACATTGACCTATTTTAGATCCTTCATAAATAATGCATATTTTTGGAATAGGTGTGAAAATGACCCTAAATCGATCAAAACGATGGGCTATAGTCCATGCTTTTTGCCTAACATGGCCAAAATACCCCTATTTTGCATACTTCATAAATAATGCATATTATTGGAAAAAGGTGTGAAAATGGACCAAAATCGATCAAAACCATGGGCTATAGTCCATGCTTTTGACCGAAAATGGCTAAAATACCCGTATTTTGCATACTTCATAAATAATGCATATTTTTGGAAAAGGTGTGAAAATGGCCCAAAATCGTTTAAAACCATGGGCTATAGTCTATGTTTTTTGCTCCAAAATGGCCAAAAATGATGTTTTTTGCATCCTTCATACATAATGCATATTTTTGGAAAAGGTGTGAAAATGGCCTTAAATCGATCAAAACCATGGGCTATAGTCCATCATTTTTGCCCAAAAATGCTTGAAATTCCCCTATTTTGCATACTTCACTAATAATGTATGTTTTTGGAAAAGGTGTGAAAATGGCCTTAAATCGATCAAAACCATGGGCTATAGTCCATCCTTTTTGCCCAAAAATGCTTGAAATTCCCCTATTTTGCATACTTCACTAATAATGTATATTTTTAGGAAAAGGTGTGAAAATGGCCAAAATCGAAAAAAACTAAGGGCTATAGTCCATGCTATTCTCCCGAATATCGCCAAAATACCCGTATTTTGCATAATTCATAAATAATGCATATTTTTGGAAAAGGTGTGAAAATGGCTCAAAATCGATCAAAACCATGGGCTATAGTCCATGCTTTTTGCCCAAAAATGGCCAAAAATGATGTTTTTTGCATTTATGGTAAAATGGAATGTGTGTGTTTTTATTGAATTGACTCGAAATGTGTTAAAAGCGTTATTTTTTTATTCCCTCTCATTCCTCATATTGGGTGGCATGTGTGGCGTAGAGGTTTACTGCTCGCTTCTCACCACTTGGTTCCGGGTTCGAGCCCTGGGGCTCAGACTTGACCACATGTGAGTTGAGATTGTTTGATGTGTTGTTCTCTACCTTGCCATGAGGGTTCTTCTCCGGGATCTCCGGTTTCCTCCCTACGTAAAAACAAACGTATAAGTTGAGTGTTGTATGTCGTAAATATAGAATGTGGTGGTAGTGCGTGTAGTGTCTGGGATACCTGTGGTTAATATTATCATGTTGGGATCCCTGTGTGTAAAAGAGAGGACCGCCATTAAAAGCACGTTGCGACAACGTTGTCTGTGTGTTAGTAGTCTTTTTAAATCCGGTTCAATCCGAGAAGAAATACAACAGTGCGTGAGGAGAGAACTCACGGAATTGTCCCGTATGGGGAGTGGTGGTTGTAAAATATATCACACATCACTCATTTGCTCGGAATTATCCCAACCACACTTAAGTAAAATTAAGCTGATGAACAAAAGAATAATTAATTCTAATCTTTTTTTGAATCTTGCACTAAATGATTTATACTTTTTCACCAATTCTCTTACTGTACACCCGACGTATCTCAGCCAAATTATACCCTTGACAGGTGTAAAATCTTGAACAACATCCATTGTGACTACAGTCTGTAATCGACGTTTCTCTTCCTGTACAACCGACGTTCATCAGCCATACTATACCCTTGACGGGCGTAAAGTTGGTGGTTATGTATTCCTGTACTCCAGGGTAACCAAGCATACGACACACCACCTCAGCATCTTTCATGTCCCATCCATCATCACATACAGTACCCCACTGACCATGGTACCTGACTTCAAGTCGACCAGAATTCCCTGACCTTCCTCCAGCTAAACGAACTTGAACTGGTGGAGGATCTGTGGATTTGTACCAACATCATTGAGGTCATTGTACAACTGACACTTGGACAAGTGTTTGAAAGAGAGAAAGTAGAGCTTTACTAAAGCTATTGTGTGATCAACAAATGAACCTTTTAGATTATTGCCTTTGATGTGATAATAATTGAATGATTAGAGTAGAGATTTGTCTTTATTACCTTCATTTGTCTGACAAACCACACCAGCGAGGCGTTTGTTCGAGCAAAATGAATTAACATTCCACCATCCTGAGTGAGCACACTCTGCTATCGACTTTTCTCTACCACTGCATTCCACATTATACATGAGCACTCTTCTTGGTGTCTCTCCTTCAATGAACCAAATTGCGTGTTCAGCTGCTTTGTAACCAAGCATTCTGCAGACCACGTGAGCATCTTGTATATCCCAGAGCCAATGACATACTACTCCCCAGGTCCCTTGATACAGTATTTCTACTTTGCCAGTATGGTTTTGATCTCCCACCAGACGAACTTTGATCGCTTTCTCCTCTGAAACAAATATTGTTCAATAAACAAACAACATTCTAATCACATCCCTTACTTTGCTTGATTTCATGTCCAGAGAGTAAAGATACACAATATATATAGATAGCTATTTTAATCAAAGTGGTCACAAAAAGTAACTTGAATATATGATAAAAATAGCAATGAACTAATGCAATAATTTTCAGTTGATGATTTTAAAATATTGTCTCTTGACATGATTGAATATGTAAACAAAGATTATATGAATGTTATTTTTTGTAACTCATCTAGTCGTACCTGGTGTTAAATTGCCACATACCACTCCAGCATCACGTCTGTGATCACATCCACCAGTGTTACCCCAGCCACCATGACGACACTGGTCAATAGATTCTTGGGATCTCGAGCAACTAAGCCCTTTAAGCCATATAGGACCAGTTCCTTTGACGCTAGCAGTTGTTGCTGTAACTGCCTTGGAGTAATTCAACATGTGACACACCACGTAAGCATCGTGTATGTCCCAGTTACCGTCATTGTATATGGTACCCCAAGTACCTTTGTATCTTACTTCTATACGTCCCTTGTTAGGGGTCTTACCATTCACTAGACGAACACCTACATCAGACGTTGAGTTCTAAAATTGGTGAAATAGGAATTTATAATTTCATAAGAGCTCCTGATCGATCTTATTCTTTTAGGGTTTTTTTGCATGTATTCAGCATAGACTATTACTTCATTTCGATTTGATGAGCACAATAATGTTCTTATTTCCATTTAGGAAAATGTCCTAATGGAATGGAGATTCAAAAATTCATCTCATATTGCAGAATTGTGCAACACATGGAAGGCCTTTAAATATATATATATTTCACACATATCCGTGAAAAATGAATTGCCTTTTCCACTCTTAACCATTGATATAGTTAAATTTCTTTACGTGGTGTTAAATAACATGCATTAAAAAATAGAAAACATGCCAGATTTAAAAAAAAAAAAAAAGGGGAAACCCTTTATACACGTCACACCAACGTCGTATCTATGGTAACAGCCTGTATTACCCCATCCACCGTGACTGCAGTCTGCAATCGACGTTTCTCTTCCTTTACAACCGACAGTACCCCACTGACCATGGTACCTGACTTCAAGTCGACCAGAATTGACTGACCTTCCTCCAGCTAAACGAACTTGAACTG